AGCAGGGTGGGAGTCCCCGACCTAATTGGCAATTTAAGGCTTTCCGGAAAGCTATTGATGATAGTGGTCTTATTGATTTGGGGTAGGAAGGAGATCCGTTCACCTGGTGCAATAGACACCCTTATCCAGACACAATAAGGGAACGCATTGATCGAGTGTTAGCTTCTAAAGATTGGATTGGAGAAGTACCTACCCTGGAACTAAGGTTCAAGACCTTATCCCTTCCCCTTTGGCTTCTGATCCAATTTTCACTCTTGTAGTTTAGCCTTGTGCTCGTGACCACTTAACTCTTGATTTCAATTAAAGGCACTTGACTAGCTCACTTGGCAGACTGTGAAAAAGAAATTACCAATTTGACTTTAGTTATGTGGCCAATATGAGAAGGTTTTGGCTGCTAAGGGGCCAACCGCTGGAGGCTGCTAGTTCTTGCTTTACTCTTTATGCTTGAGTGGGTTGGTGTAGAAATAAAACTTGGCCTTGGCCATGAACTTGGACTTTGTTTGAACCTAACTTGGCCCATTTTGGATTAGGAATTGAAGATTGTAAGTGATGGAATGGAATGAAACTCATCCTCTGTATTGTATGGAAGGCACCCCTTTCTAGAGAAGGCAGCCATGAATGCCACTCCATGAGGGCACTCCGCGGCAAAATGAAACTTTCTCTCTTCCTCAGCCTAAAAGAAGTAGGGCCTGATTCCTGCCTTCTCCTCGACATAAGGGCGCCATATGAATTGGTTAGGGTCATCAATAAATCTTGAAATCGGCACCTGCAAAGTGCTTGATTCGGTCCATTGGTCGGATCGTGGGAACTTCCAGTCTTTCTGCCCTTTCTTCGGGGAGAAGAACGAGAATTCCGCTCGACCCTAGTCCAACAATCGTTCATACAAAAGCATCTGGAGGAAAGGAGTGTACATGAAGTTCTGGATGGCCTACCTCCGGGCATCTTCGAATATATTACTATTTCCTTCAAGCTTGCATGAATCGCCCCACCGGAAACCAGTTCTCCTGTGGTTAAGCAAGAGACTTCCTCTTTACTGGTCCCTATACCCCAAGCGGCATAAGCACTCGTAACTGCTTCATTTATAACATAAAAACGAGTTTGACCTTTTTTTTTTATTTTGTATATAAGAACCCTATCCAATGCTCTTGTTTAGCCTGTTCCGATCTTCTTCGATAAGCCTGGTTGGCATTCCCAGTCTTTTTTCTACTCGTCTTCTTGCTCCAGCTACGATTTTTTTAGTATATAGGGGAGAGCTCCAAACGGACTGACTAAGCCATCGAAAGAACTCAACCGCAAGTATAGGATTCAATGTGAAAGGACAATGTTCATTTCCTTCAATTCATAAGCCCGAGTATCACGATCCCCCGCCCGAAGTGACTGACAATATAGTCTAGTTTTTTTTTTCCCTTTTCCAGAGACGATAAAAGTAGCACCCATGGACCTAGCTCACAGAAGAAGGGGACTAGTTGCGACAGGAACTACGGGTACATGGTGTTGTGCTTCTTACCTATGATGATTCCGCATTTGCCTGGTCAAGCTTATTACTGGCAGGCGAGACCGATCGATTGAAGTTACGGTTATAAACCCCGAAGCGAAGTCCGCTGGAGCTTCGAGGTCAGCTTCTAGGTCATAACTTCGATTCCCTTCTCTTCCGGTTAGCAACTAACTGGCTCTCCTACTCGGTACTCTACCCTCTCCCGCTGACTAACCACCATACCTATTCGCCCTACCTCGGGCTATCTTTCTACCTATTTGTTTGGTTGGGTAGAATTCCCATCAAGTTGGATCTTACCCTCCTCAATGAGGTCTTTTCAAAATAAATGGCTAAGAACTTCGCCTAGATGCAGAGCTGAATGAATTATGTCGAAAAAGGAAGCAAATAAAGTCAGAAGGTGCGGATTCCACCCCAGGATTCGTAAAAAGAGAAAGAAGCAGTTATGCCATTCGCCACCTTCGCCCTAGTACTGGGATCAGGAACTCCTCTATCTATGCTAAAGGTTCCGTTGTCATACTATATTATATTCTACCTTCGAGTCACTCATTCCCTTTCGAGCTAATGAGAGCTAACTGGCAAGAAGCAAGAACATTCTCAGCTAACCGCGAACAGAGTTCCGAGTCGCTTATTGGAATCAGAGACTTAGTCAACAAGCATTCCTACCCGAGAAATTCTTATCTTCTACTAAGAACTGTTCCGAACACCTATCCAAGCCAAGCTCTTTGCCGACTCTATTCCCTATCCGTTAATGCTTTTTTTGTTCTTCAATCTCTTCCTATTCTTTCTCCCCCTCGGGTAACTACCGTAAGCCGAATCGCTTTTTCACTCGTTAGTTCCAATGTAGGCTCGATTGCTCAGTTGTATGCCTTTCCCTGTCTCTGGGCTCTACTCTCTCTGAATGGAGAGAATGAGTTCTACTCTTTCACTGGCTGCTATCTTACTAAAGAGTGGTCCTCTCTTTGCTACCCTCTCGTCACTCGCTTCCTTTCGAGAAGACGAAGGGGAGAGCAAGAGGGGGGGAGTTGGGGTGTAGGAGTGTTCTTCTTTCAAGTGACTCCCTGCTTGCATCTTTTTAAGCATGCCACGACTCAAGATCCCCTTTTTAACTAGATCCTTAATGTTCGAAGATTGATGGACAGACAGTGGGACTGTAGGCTAGGCTACAATTTCGGTGGCGAGAGGCCAACAATTGTGCGGATTTTATAGCCAAAAGAAGCTTGAGCTATCCGACAGGTTTATTCATTTTTGATGAACCCCCTGAAGCTTTGAGGCCATTGCTAAGTCATGACATTAATTATAGGGGCCCCAGATATGTATGTGCTTTTAATTCTTGGCTTCAGCCCTTCCACTGAACCAAAAATGAACTGGCCGCTTATCTCGCCATGTGGCTATCCAAGTTCATTCTTCCAGGGGTGAACTTTGAGTGCATTTACGAAGATCCTTTTTTAGCGAAACTGGAAAAGGGACGATGCATTGCGCTTGGTCTCTGGATGTAGATTTAGCTGTTCCCTACCAATGTGTAGTCCTGGTAAGAGGAGCATACACATCTTTTTCCTTTCGCGCGAGAAAGAGAAAGAAGGACTAATTTGGGATCGCTTGGATGTCCAACGGAACTGTCCGTCTTTGATGCAATGATTCGATAGCAAATACCGCGACAGCCGTTCCCACTTTTGGTCTACTGCCGGATGGGTTTACTCCGCTAAGGAATCAGTCAAAGAGAGACTCTTCCTGTCACCAGATCACTTTGACATCGGCAAGTCACACATAAACGGGAGCAACTTCAATCACTGAAAGAACGAAAACAAAGAACTAAACAAAAGCATCCCTTCGCTTGATAAGACTTCCAACGATAGAACGAATTGAAAGCTAGGACAGATTGGACTACTGGAAAACTTAGACTGCTAATGGAAAACGTACGGTAGGAATAGACCGCTAGACTAGTATAGACCACTTTTGCAATTGAAGTGAATCCCTTAGTCCGAGTTTCGGAGATGAATATTATGGTCTTACACCTGCAGCAAGCACATTCCCAGGCTATACGACAAAAACTGGCACCAAAAGAAAGACGGACAGAGAAGTAAAGTCCCCAGGGGGTTACCTTCGGGTCTATTCCACCAGCTGAAATTCAAGGGAGGAAGACAGAAGGAATCGAAAGAATGGAAAGCTGCCAAGGCTTAGAATGATAGATGGAATAGCCGATTAGAAGAAATGGTGATCCACCGCTTACAACAATTTCCTCGGCTTCTCTTAGGGGCACAGTTGAGGGTAAAGATTAGGATGATTGCTAGGTCTGCTAAACTGGACAGCTAAACTGGAATAGCAGATGATGGCCCCTTAGTCCGATTGGACTAGATCGAAAGCCCTACACATCCTTTATATCGTGAAGTGACCCTCGCTTAAAAGCACTGGAAGACTTGATTGACTGATACCTTAGCCGCCAATGCTGATAGACCCAAATCCCCCCGCTTTTGAAGACTGGTTAAGAGAAAAGCTTAGACCCGGGGGGGGGACAAGAGGGAGTTATAGAGGGGTGCTTCCTTCCTTACTTGAGGAAGAGCTCATAGGATTGGAAATAAAAGAGAGAAGCTAGACGGGGATTGGGCCATTGGACGGACTGCATGGCTTACTGAAGAGAGAAGGACTGCTAGACCGAATCCAAAGCATTGAACCCTACTTCGAACAATGGAAGGAATGGGAGTTAATAAAAGACTAAGCGCATACCTTACCTTTTTCTGAAAGACGGAATACCCTCGCCCTCAAGGAGGATTGATTACCTGAGGGACGCCCGGGAGAGTTACTCAAATCTACACCCTACCTCTCCGCTTCCTAGACTGATCCTTAGGGTTAAGGTGAGGGTAGTAATGAGCTTTCTTGGCAGTTATGCTTCCAAGCTTTGTCAGCCCTTCTTGTCATAGAGCTTCGACCAAGAACGTAGATCGGATAGAATCCCCCGACACTGCCTAACTTCTCGTCTGTCTTTGGCTTTACCTTTACTGATCCAGTAAGAAGGAATTCTTTCCCAAAGCAAAGCTTTATCCGCTGCTTTCTTATTGTATGATGCCTCAAGCCAAGTTCTTTTGACTTCTTAGTGGGACTTCGCTCTGGGAGCTTTAGCACTCCTTTTTCTTCTTTGGTAAGAAGTGAAGTTACTTATACTATCTTTCGCTTTAAAGAACATACTTTTTTGAGTTCTCCAACTAAGCTAAAGTAGTCAATCCTAACTGGCTCAAGCTAGTGCCCGTACTAAGACTAAGAAGGATCGCCTTTGATAGCTCTAAGCTTGGCTAAGCGCTACTGCAGTTCAGGTGCTATTTGAAAAGAAATAGGAATTTTTGGAACATAGCAATAGGACTCATTACCAGGTTGCTTTTTCCTCCGGCAAGAGAAGCCCTTTACAATAGGAGATAAGGGAGAGAGTTCGAAAGGTGTGAAGGCTAAGAACAATATAAGAGGTCTTGTCAGAGCCATCGAATCGGATCTTAGAGAAGTCTTCGTCCACACCTAGGACAGGGAAGAGTGATTCCTTTTATTCATAATGCCGGGAAAGTCAATAATAGCAACTGTGAGGGCAAGTCCAACATATGAACTCGAAGCAGCAAGAAGTTGCGAGGAAGGGGCAAGAATCTCAGGATCTGCTCTCTTAAAGCTTTTTGGGGAGGGGAACTTGGAAACTTGTTGTCCGGTGAGGGAGATGGACTCTTTTCTGCTTCTGCTTTTCTGTCCCCCAGGTCTGATCCCTACTGTCAAAGGGTACCCGCTGCTTATTCTTAAAAGTATCCCCCGACCTCGAAAGTCGTTGATGAGGGAGATGCCTTTGATGCCCTAGATGATGCTTTTTCTGATGGAGCTCTAAATTCTTCCCCCGCTCGGGTCACAAACCTACCAGAGCAAGTACCAACCACCAACATCCCCTTTCCCCCAGACTTTGATCTTTCCGAACTAAGGTCGAGGATGCTTTGCAAGCCTCAGGGATACTCTTTAGACTTATATTATTATGTAAGCGTAAGCTTGAAAGGAAAGTTAGCAGTTGGTATTGGCAGAAAGACAGTCCCAGCACAAGAGGCAAGAGCAACTGAGTTTTTTTTCTAAGGAACTCTCTGAAAGCGTAACGAACAGAGCTCCTTCAAAAGCCCGAAGGAGAGCGGAATCTCAGTGTAGAATATCGGCGTAGAGCAGAGCGTAATCTCTGTTCCGACTTCTGAGTTCTCCGAAGGTACCGATTTTTCCTCTCTTTCACTTATGGAGGGGAATTTCCTCCCTGGGGTCAAACTCCTAGGGCTGCTTAGCCTGGAAAAGGTGTTCATAAACGCCCTTTTTCACTAGCTACGAACCCTAAATAAGAGTCTCAGGGGCAGGAAGAATACCAGAAGACAGAGTCCAAGGACCAGCATCAAGAACATCAGCAGTTTGCCCAGTGAAGCCAGTTTCACCGCTTTCCCCAACAGGCAGGTTCGGGAAGAGTCATCAGTCTCACCAAGAGAAGGAATTTCGACGGGTTCGCCCCTTTTGCTAGTTTTACCCTAAGTCCCGGGAAGAGCTCGCTTTTTTACTTGCCTCTCTTGCTTGAATCAACACTTTCCTGAAAGCTTAGCTTAGTAAGTGAGTCTAGAAATTTCCTATTTGATGACGACCAAGAGGAGGAAGATCGTGCATTCCTTCCGTTTCCGTCCAGCGGTCATCCCTTTGGTCATTCTTATAGATCGGGTATTCACTTAAAAAGAATTTAACCGGCTAACATACGGTGACTGATGACTATAATGCCTTCGATTGCTTGTTATTCCTAGTTAGCTTTCAAATAGACTCTTATTTTATTCTACAATGGGCCTCATCGCATGCATCTGATCGTTCCTTTTATTCCTAAGAGATGAGATGAAGGAGGAAGCCTACAACTAGGCAGCCAATAACTTTATACTAGGTTCTAGTTCAAAGAAGAAGCCCTATTCTTCCCACGTCCCAACATTATGCGGAATATCGACTCTTTTCGTTCTTTGTCTGTCTCTGCTTTCTCATGTCATTCTCTTCCGCTTCGCACCTGTCCTTTCTTCTGGGACAAAGACCTCCACCTGGAATCCTAGCCTGCGGCATATCGCTGGAAAACCTTTCACTTTGCTTGCCTCATTGCTGGATCGATGAAGTCTTGCTGTGACCTGTGCTACCTATTCTAGTGTGCCTCGGGCTGTGGTGCTACCTGAAATCTCCTCTCAACTCCTGTCTCGGAATGACAAGGCAAGACAGAAGAGCAGCTAAAGGCCTCGGGCTCAGAGCCGAGTTGCAAGGCGAAAGAAAGTCAGTAGCTTGTCCTGAGAGGAGTGAGCGCCTGATCTCTAATAAAAATAAACGAAAGTAGACTCGTACTATAACTATAACAAAAAAGTAAGCCACCTCAAACTCAAAGCGCGAAGACGTGACAGCGTTCTAATCACATCGTATGGTCGTCTTATATCTTAATCTACGATCTTGATTAGTGATTGAAGTTTCCAGAAAAGGCGAACTTGAAATAGCTTTCTTTTTACCATACTTTCTTGTGTTCAAGCAGCTCCATGCCACTCAACCATAGTTCTATTAGTGAGGCTGCTCGAGCGGGAAGTACTCTTACAGCGCTCGTTCCGGCATTGATGAACCTATCTGAAAGAAAGACAGCTGCTAAGCCATCCAGCAAGAAAGCAAGCTTAGTTCTCCACCTGAGATTCTATCTCCCCTCGTAAAATCCCTCTTACAGCCCTTTCCAGCTTAGCGCACAGCCATCAATCAAGCGCACTCAAAGAATTAGTGAGAACCTCCTTTCTTTGGTTCCAGCAGTTCCATCTCAACCATCGGGTAAGAAGCGGAGACCCGTCCTTCATTCATTAAGTTTAGGGATTTGAGTCAGGGACAACAGAGGAGCAAGCCAAAAAAGAAGCCAGGGACTAAGATGACTGGACAGGAGCGATAAGCAGCTATCAGCCACTCGAACCAATTTAGAGGAGCGGGGCAACTCATGAGAGTATAACATTCTTCACCAAAAGTACACTATATGGAAAAAGCACAAAATATAAAGTACTTTTTCGCTTGCTTGCCTTAAAAAATGAAGGATGGGAAGGTGAGTGGAAGACTCTGTGCTGGTCTCACCATGGAAGAGATCCATAAGGAAGGGCACTCACGCTCTAAGATAAGAGAGTAGAGAGGAAGTAAGCGTATGAGCAATCAAATCGTTTACTTGATTGATATGGTGAACAGCTAAGTTCAATTTGGCATCCTATCTCTGACTCACTTATGCTGTGTCATGCCTATAAAACCCGAAGCTTTCCTTATGACCTCAACTGGGGCAGGAGCCCTCCCTATACCTGTCAAAAGCAACAGAGAAGGATTCGAATGCTCAATCCACCAGGACCTTTAGCACATCCCGTATCTCTTGTGGAGTCCTTGGCACGAAGAAGAGATTCTCCTCGGGAAAGCTTAAGTCAAATGCAAATGCTTGAATCAAAGACTTGTAACCGGGGGGTTGAATAATCAATCATTTCAAAGGAAAAGAAGGGAGATTGGCTTGGAAACTGATTGTTTCGCCCCTCTCGTGAATGCAAAAATGAGTGTGGAATGGATGAAAGCCTTGTGGGTGCTTTCATACAGGGCTTGACTCAGCCTTGACCTCCCTCGCTCAATTCGAGAGAAACCCTTGCTAAAAGAAAAGGGAAGCATGTAGTTCTACTCAATAAGAGATGATAAGGATTCAGTTTAGGCTCTATGAAGTCAATCAGGAGTCGCTTTGCTAATAGGATTTGAGAAAGCTTCTTCCTCAACCGTGCCCAAGAGAGAGTAAGGACAGCCAATCCGGTCTGTCCTTGCAGATGTATAAAATAGAACACGAGGTCAAAGGAAGGGGATTCTTATTGTATTCTGTAGAAACTAGCTTAGGACATGGAAGCATAACGGGGGACTAATTGGATGGAGCAGAAGCTCTCTAGGGCTTGCTCTCATCGCTGCAGCTAAGAATCTTTATTATTAAGGAGTCTCGGGATTGTAGCGAAGAGAATTAAAGGCTAGCTCGACGATAGGGAGAGGGAGGGACTTAGTGCTTCTGTGCCCCTAATTTTTAACGTAGTCTTCTTACCAAACCAAGCAGGTTTCCAAGTAAGACCGAGACTTGATCTTCTTGATTCTGGAATCAGCATAGGTTCTTTCCTCGAATCAATCAAGACATGGTACGTGGACTAGCAATCGTTGTCTAATTAAGTAAGGGTCCTTTTTCAATCATTCTACGAGCTAACTATCTACGAGAGCATAGGCCATTGGTTAAAGATAGGCACCGATCAGATCAAGATTGTTCCACTCCGCCTGGGGAGTACGTTCGCAAGATTGTTGCTACTTAACGTGGGTAATGGCTTAGAAACATCTAATAGGACATGTCTTTCAGCGCATGCCTTTCCCTACCAGCCTGGCTCATTGATTAAAGGCAATGTCTTTTATTCCCTTCTCTACCTTTTGTAAGGCTCTTATACACCTTTTCTCGTTCTCTGTGAAAGGGTATCGGCTGGCTTCATCTCCCGGTCTCTAAACTCTCAATCAGGGCTCTATTTCAAATTGAAAAAGCACCATCGCCTTGAACTCTTTCCTGGTTGGTAAGAAGAGACTACTTGACAAGCTAAGGAAATCAAATAAAAGAGAGAGGCTTTCGAAGAGTAGCCTTTTTGGCTTTACTTTGACTCTATCTCGCTAAAAAAGACAAAAGGAAGGTGACAGTTCTAGAATTGGGAAAGGACCCATGTTTGTAAGTATCGAGGTCTTTCTTGTCTCACACAAGAAGACAGAAGCTTTCTTTCTATAAGAGATTCTCAGTCTAGTTCGCTACAAGGCATACTAGCAAAGCAAGGAAGCTATCAATAGAACTATAAGGATTTGGTTCTTCACAATTGCCTGAGGAGAAAGTTCACTTTATCACAGTCTGATACTATGAGTAAGATTATTCTGTATTGAGAGTCTCTACTGAGGGCAAGTAGGCCCAGAAGTACCTCTAAGATTAAGTCTTAATCCATACCTATTCAATATCAATACTTCTTAAAGCTAGCATAAGTAGCTCTTTCTTTAGCAGAGGATTGGCAAAAGCCTAACTAGGTATAGGTACTATCCGCCTATTTATAACTATTCTTTTTTTCATCTGCCTATCAAGCAGGTGTGCTTATACTAACATCTTTCCTCTTACCCTTGCTTGCTGTAGGACGAATAGGTTCCAGAAGTCTGAAGCCCTGTAAGCCATTGTCTCAGTCCCGGGGGCCCCAGTGGTGAATAGTCTTTCTCTCTTCCAGTCTATCCCGTGGGAGCCTTCGAAGTAGGAGTCTCAGTTACGATGGGTTATTTTCCCTTGTAGGCAGTCTTAGCTTTCCTTTCCATGCATTTTTCCTCTTTGAAATCTTGGTTCCCCCCTCTTGGGAGGAAATATCTCCTATGATAAAGTAAAGAGAGAGATCGGGGTATGTGGTTTTTAACCATTTATTTTATAGTTTCCTGTTGCAGTGGGAAAAGAAGGACTCAAGCACTAGCCTAGATGAAAGGGGAGTTGGTTAAAGACGGAGAGGAGGGCAAGCACATAAGCAGTCACGCTAGCACGCAAGTCAGCTAGGCAACTACTCCCCTGTAATCCTGAAGATTACCTTAGCTAAAAGGCCTCTTTGTTTCCTTAACAGGATTATCCCATCCTCGCTCATATCTTCTCTGGGCACCTCCCTTCGATATGTCCGGCTGTCGTCCCTCCTCCCATTTACAAGGTTAACTTTTGAGCCATGAAGTCACTGATAGATCCTTCCCCCCTACCCTATTCTGAATTTCGCTCGTTTGGAAGCAACTTTCCAAAAAAATTGGGAAAAGATCACAGGCATCAAAATCGAAGATCCCCCACGTAGACGATAAGACGCTGCTCCCGCTCGTAAGCAAACATTCCAAACAGTTTCCCTCCGGTGATAGCCTTGGAAAGATCTGTGACATGGTCAGTGTGCCTCAGACTTGTGCTATACACTGGCTGGTAGCTCACTCTGTCTTTGTAAGATCTTACGCTTTTCGGGGTGGCTAGACCGTCCGAATCCCGGGTCTACTCTTGGGCGCGGTAGGATTCTGGATCCTATTGCTGAAAGTGAGAGATCAAACCCTTTTCGAGAGGTATGTGTTACGCAGACAGATCTTGTTGAGTTTTTGGTTTCTGTCCCAAGCTCAGAAAAGCAAGCATTTTATTGATTATAAAGGTCGCTTATCCTCTCGCTTTCTCTATCATCAGGTATTTCACTCGTTCGAGCATTGTACCCTTTTTCCTCTACTTAGCAGTAGAGCGACTCCGTTTCTTCAGAATGGAAGCTCAAGAGAGTCTTGAAGCAATTTATTATAGCTGATTAGCTCAGTAAACTAGCTTACAAGTGCTTATAGTAGCTGATCTGGCACTCTCTTTGAATGCAACAAAGCCAGGATATCAGGATCTAACTTCACATTTGCTCTAACCGTAGACTTATATAAAAAAAAGTTCTGTTTAGTCAGAATTTGGAAGGTACGTAGTGTGAGTGATTCTATCACGAATGGCTGCTAGAGATTGCTTTCCTTTCGGTCAGCTAACCCTCGTTAGGGGGAAACAAAAACAAAGCCAATGGACTTAAGTTATTTCCTCCACGAATCCAATGGATCTTTCCATATTTTGTAACGAAAAAACTCCCAGGAAGACAGCGAACCAACTTTCCATCCCCCGGTCGAAGAATATCAAATTTCACTCCTTCTTCTGGGAAGGCATTATATAAAAATAAGAGAAATTCTTCGATATCGTAGATAGATTTACTCGTTTCGATTGGAATAAGCAGTTGATGATAGAATCGTGCAAAGGTCCAGTCCGGAAACCTAGAAACAAAATCTCTGTCCATCGTGTCCAAAAAGAAGTTAAATAACACCGGAAGAAGAAATCGGACGGGCGTCGTTTAAGTCCTTCCCTTTCTTGTTAAGTATTTTTGAATGTAAAAAGCTCTCGATGAGATATAGAATGAATTCATCATTGATAAGAGGTTTGATTTTCTCCACAAGTCGCTTTCTACAAAAATTCCTAATATAGAAATTATTCTAATTTAAAACAACTAGGGCCCTCAGATTGGACCAATTTGCTATCTCAGCCAAAAAGTGGAATGCTTCCTTATCTGTCCGGCAGGCGAATGACTGCTCAAGAAAGACATTAGGGGTTAACACAAACTTTTTAAGGACATTTGCAAGTGAGATCAGAATGAGTTCATCTTCGAGTTTGAGACGAAAATAGAACTCCATAAGACCAAAAGCGTCTTCGATATTATCGAACCGAAAAAAACAGAGACTATCCATCGCAAATGGAAAGCCCTTTGGCTCTGATTTTACCCAAAATGGAGACAGTTTATATGAACCAGTCAGAATCGATTTTTTTCCATCTTAAAGAGGTCGACCCTCTCGTAGATAAAACCATATTTCTTTACCGTCGCCCGTAATTCCAGTATTAGTGAATTTCGTAAAGGTTCAGAATTTGTCGTACAATAATCTCTTCGATATGAATGATAAGCGTTCCAGATACTAATACTTGGAGTAATATCCCATCCCCCTCCGTTTAGAAAAGTAAATGTGTAACATGATCACAACAGTTGTACTTCAGTCGAATAAGATTGAATTCCCTCGACACAAAAAGGAATGTCGATATTATTTTGATTCCTTCGACTTAGGAATTGACTTCTTGTCGATTGATTTTATTCCTCGATCCATTTTCCCTTGGGCATCTCACTTACCACTTTCAAAAGGATTTTCAGTCCTTTGGTGAAGGATTTGGAGTCCTTTGCTCTAACCAGCTGAGCTACCTGAACCACTTTGAAATCTGTCTCCTTTCTTTATGTAATTTTGCCTGCGTTCATAGGCTGCGGGGCTGTGCACTTCAGCCCCATCACATCAAGGTGACAGGATTCGAACCTATGGCCCTCTGTACCCAAAACAGATGCGCTGACCAGACTGCGCTACACCTCGTCTCACCCCCCGAAGCATATAGATCCACCCGATCGATGAACACTCGAACCGAACTCGCCCATCTTTTTGGGCCCAGGGGGGCGAGAACCAATCCGAGTAAGAAACCGTTTTTTTATCTGCCTCCTGCACTTTACGGCTTTTTGCCTTCTTCTTTCACTTGAATTTCCAAATCCGGCTCGCTTTCGGCTACGTGTCCTTTGGACCCTTCGCCCGCTTAGAAGTGGATTCGAACCACTGACACAAGGATTTTCAGTCCTTTGCTCTAACCAGCTGAGCTACCTGAACCATTTTCCTAAAGTCTGTTTTCTTCATCCATCGAATAGCGCCCTACCTTACCACTTTACTAGTAAGGGAAAAGCCCTTTCTTTACTTTACTAATATGTTAGGGCTTTTTTCGCTTGTTCGTCAAGCTTTCGAGCAGCTCTTTCAACTGCCGCCTAATCTCCCAACATGCTCAAGAACCGAGAGCCTTCCAGGGACTGGACGGCCGGAGGAAATAGAAAGAAGATAGGCCGGTCAAACAAAAACAACGGGCTCTCCGCTCCTAGTCACTAAGTAGTGCTATTCTGTCCTCCGGGAGACTCCACCAAGAGGTTCTTTCTCTCACGTCATTTCGCCTGCCCGTTTCACTTCCGCGCCGGAGGAAATGGGATTCGAACCCATGATACAATCTTCTTGTATGTCGATTTAGCAAACCAATGCCTTAAGCCACTCAGCCATCCCTCCAAGTTTTTGATCTAAATTTGTTGTGCGGTTGGTTGCCCGAAGGGCTATCTGATCCGCGTAAGCCGTAGCGCGCTAGCGCGCGTACTCTTCCTCTATCTATTATCTATGAGTGAGACTCTATCCAGATCTCCCCAGCATCCAAGCCATCAAAATCTGCCACTTGTTGGGCGACGCCTTCCTTTCTATGAACACCCCACCACAGAATGATGAACTTTGCCAATCTTTGCCTCCGACCCGACCAGGAGAGGAGACAGGGTCAAGCCAAGCCCTTACCCGCCTGAATTGAATTCATATCTCCTTCGTCTGGTCGAGATTTTCCCGGACTGTGACTCTTCTATTACATTACATTACGGAGAAGTCCATTCTCGTCATGATCGATCCGCGTCCTACCGTAGTGCCCGGAGAACCTTAGCAACGCTTACTAAGGCGAAGGAATTCTTCGTAGATTGCACGAGCTAGCCGATTCGGATTCTGCTTGAGCTACCTTCTTTTAAGTTAAGGCCGGAGTGAGGGTTAACTGATTGAATGGGGCGTAACTGCTATTTCACCGCTTAGCCTTAGCGACTCGGAACTCAAGGGTTTCGGTGAAAAAGAATAGGTTCAGGTCTTAGTTCAAACAAATAGGAGCTCTTCTTAGCTCGAAAGGGTAACTTGTTGCGAAGAATCCTGTTATCGAATTCGCTCTTTGCTTTGAAGGAAGCAGGCGCAAGGGAACCTCTTTGAAGGCTTGAAGGAAGAAGGGCTTTAGTTAGGCAGCGAATCTTCATTGAAGTGATGTTAGCTAGGTCCTTTCCTCAAGCCAGTCTTGAAGCAGGAAGTTTTGTACCTTGAAGGTATGTCCTGGTATTTTGACTTGACCTCAAATCATATACTTCAACCAGTTATATAGAAAGAAGGTCAACCAGCCAGCTTGGTTGCCTTTATGCCATTCCAGCTTCTCCCCCAGCTATTGATTAGCCGGAATAACATAAAGGTCTTTCCCCCGTCGTATAGATAAAATAGCAAAGCGGTCCAAGACCCTACCAGCAATCTCAAGTTATGGTTTTTGTTTTGAGACCGGGTGAAACAACTCCCTCTTTTCCTTGCTCTCAAGCGTTTCAATATCCATTTAAACCTCAAGAGAAATCATTCGTCGGGATGCAAGCTTGGAAGGAAGGTCTCCCTGTTGAAGCCAGTCATCTTGTACGCTAGGAGACCCTGTTTATCAAACCAAGCCTTTTTCAAGCTCATAAGGCCTACGATCAAGTAGTTTTCAAGCCCGTACAATCTTTTCCCTGAAAGTCAAGCACCAGTCCAGAAAAAAAGTCTTTCTAAAGTAAGCTGAGGATAAGAGTTAGTTAGGCCCTGTAAACCCATTGCTTTTCCCGCCTCTTTCTATTTCCGAGTTGCTTCGCTACTTATCTTCTAGCCAGTTTTCAGCAAGTGAGGGCTGACCCATTTTAGCTTAACAACCGAAGGAGCCGGTCAAAAGAACGAGTGAGCGAAAGCGAACGAAAACGAGAGGTCTAAGGTGAGTTCCCAAGTCTTGAATAGATAAAAATAAGAATAATAAGAGAAAGATTCTTGACTTATACTCTATATAGAATCCTTAGTAATGACTAGATAGCTATTACTAATCTATACTAGACTATATACTATAAAAATCTTAGGTGCCTGGTCTCCACGAATCCTATAGGCAACCCCTTTCCTAAGATTGTTAAATATCAAGACATTAAAAAAGTTCCCTACGCTAACCCCACCCGCTTAAAGCTATAGAATTTCTGGTACTATAGCTCGTCGAGAAAATGCTTTCTTTTAAGCGAAATGAAACTTTCTAAATAAAATAGGAATCTAGCGCCTTTCTCAATTGGTCCTCGGGAAAGTGGTCAATTGGCTTCGTTGAATCGCTTCTTGAAATAGAGATTATGCTTAGCTCATCGGGCTGGAATATGTATATCAATATGTTGCCCCTCCCAATCGCCCTTGTTCTTGAAGCTCTCGCTTTCCCCCCTATCTAATAAGGTAAGTTGCCCCTGCCAATGAAATCCAATCTGCAGGCACCTGCCTATGTGTCTGCCGCTTGCACTCTACCATATTCATTCCGCGCTTTTGAGGCATACCTTTC